TTTTTTATGAAACAGAGTGCACAATATCATATCTCTATTCATTTTTATTTTATTTTTTCCATCCAGGTCTGAAATCCCTGGCATACGTTTAATTGTAATTACATTTGCGCATTAAAAATTCATATACGGCAAATGTGGTATCCATTTACATCATTTTCCAGGGCGCACAGAGCGTACAGAGCATGGCGTATATAAAACGGATTCGCGTATTACCTCTTAAACTTATCCAAAATTCGCTCCCAAATCCTCCCTGATTTCTCGCTTCTCGTCTTCACTCGGGAGATGGGGAGACTTCACGCTCGCCGTGAATTATTCTCGCTTACCCAGAATGCCCGCCTAACCGATTACCAGAGCGCGAAATAGGAAGCGGCTAGGCTCGCCTATAGCGGCCGGCGGATTATTAAATTTAATACGGCCAATTACTCGAGGAGAGCGGCGAAAGCTAATAGCCGTGGACGATGGCGTTGCGGTCCTTAAGGCCCACCGAAGAAAGCGGCTCTACGATACACGGAGAAAGAGAGAAAGAGGGAGAGAGACACGGTCCCTAATGACGCCGTTAAATCAAACAGTCGTGCCATTATTAACTGTGGACAGATCTAACGGCGGACGAGCGCGAGAAATACCACCTCGAGTGGTGGCCGAGAATAAGCACTCTCGCAGAACGCGGTTAGGCAGTTGCGAAATTGTTCGGCTGCCACGAAGAAAGCGCTCGCCTTTGCTCGGAAGATTGTGTGATATACGTGAAATTTCGTGAAGGCATTCGTAATTGTCGCAGACACGGGAAGGGAGGGGAGGAAATGCAGCGACTGCATAGTGTAGCTGTGTAGATAACAAGAGGCAGGCGACTAACAATAGTGTGATTTCTAATGAGATAAGCAAGACATGAAAATGATATAATGCTCGTCGAGCAAATCACTTTTTAAATATGTATAAATTCATGAAAGAAAATCGTTATTTTCACAAATTTATTTCGCAAGCAATTAGTTTAAAAAGAGAAGAGATCAGAATGTTTCAAGAGAATAATTCATTCACGAAACATTTCAATACCAAAATAATCAAATTCGAAACAAATTCGGATTAAATTAGTATCTAATTACTTTATAAATCCAAACTTGATTTTTAATGGCAGAAGCGGCAATTTTAACAAAATTTCGACAAGACGACGTTTTGAATGAGATTTTAGCGCATGTTCATCCTTTTCGACTGAAAAATTTCGAACAGACGAACTCTGTCCGGGCACCCTCGACCATTCCCAGTGGCGCCAAAACGTGGCTGACATTTCGATCACGTGACATTTCGTTGGTGCGAAGGGTTGGCACTGCGTTGACAAACTTTTAGGGTGTACATAGTTGAGGGGAGAAGTCAATATGCAATATGTGATGCAGGGGAAAAAGCACATTAGTTTCAGATACACCGAGAAATGAGAAAATAAAGCACGATAAATTTTAATTAAATGCGCACGCGAATGAAATTGACTGGCAAAAATATCTAAAAAAAATACCAAATAAAAAAATGCCGCAACTGACATATGTTTTAATCTGTAATCTTTTTGTATTTCTTTTTTTTTCAAAATTTAAAATCTCTTTTACATTTCTTAAACGATGGTTTAAAGTACACAGTTTAAAACATCAGTGGTTTGCAGTAAAAATATCCAGTCAAAAACGCTCGAGAGATGTTTGAGGATTGCTGGTTTAGAAGTAGTTTTCGTTTCCGCTCTTTAGCCCACGAACGAGTCCATAAGGGCTTCCTAGTATGTTACGCAAGTGGAATAAAGAAAGGGAGAGTCCGTTTGGACCCTTGCTTTCAAAGTAAACACATTAACGATCACCTTTTTCGCACACGCATGGGGGTGCCTCGAAAGTCGCGCATTTTCTTTCAAAGCGAACCTAACTGAGAAGAACGATGATTACTTTTATATGAAAGCAAAAACGATTCTGAAGTTAGAGCCACATTCATAGCTCTAACTAGTCATATTATTCTCTCGAACAAGATTTCTTCTTTTGAGATGCGTGTGTGTGTATATATAAACTTAAATAAAGTACCAAGGTACTCTCGTCCTTAAAAAAAATAAAAAAGATTAAATACAAGTCTTGTTTCATACCAGAAACAAAACTCTCGTCGCAAGTGTCGGAAACAATAGAGAGGATTTCAACACGAGAGATTAAACGGGCGCATCTCAGAGAGTTGCAGATCTCGGCGGATCTCTAGACAGATCTGTCCGCGTTTCTCGCCCGACAAGAGACGTATGCGGTATATTGTCACGCGCACACGTTGCACACGTTGCGTCGGAATGTTGGGAATGCGACTAACGACCCAAGCTGGTGCACTCGCTGGTCAAGTAATTACCTGTATTACTCGTGAAATGACTGCTCGTTACTGACCCGAGAATCGTTAATAACTCGCGTCGATTAGATTCCGAAATGGGAGTGACACGGAACTTAAATTAGGTTATCCACACATAGTTGATGAAAACGTCATTTGACTGTCCCCCGAATGTCGAGACTATACTATAAATATAATAGATATTTAAATTAATTTGCACATTCACAATCGAAGATAATATCGAAACTATCCGTCGTTTAATAACCTTTTAAACTTCCAATTTAAAAATTCGTAGAATTTGTATAATTGTATAAAAGAATAACCATAAAAATATTACTAATAATATTATTGATAATATTAATGATTTAGTTTTCTTTTTTTTTCGAAATCACTAATTTAGAACTAATGTTTCCAATTTTTCAAGTTCTTCTATAGACACCTACATACATAGAGTTAATTTTTCAATTTTAGCATTTTCTTATAAAGAAGTAAATTAGTCCGAATATAATTCTTCTCTCTAAAAGTGAATCAGTGGAATCATCACTGATTTTCAGTGTATGTCATTTTCCAATGGCATATTTTGAATTGTAATAAGCAGTGACTAATTTCAATGTTGTTTCAGTGATAATATATTGATACAAGCAGTGAGTATCACTGAAAGACAGTGAATTTCAGTTCTCAAAATTGCTTGACAGTGAAACTCACTGTCTTTCAGTGATACTCACTGCTTATTACAATTCAAAATATGCCATTGGAAAATGACATATACTGAAAATCAGTGATGATTCCACTGATTCACTTTTAAAAAGTTTGATTTAATAATATGCTAATGCAATGCTGATATTAGAGATACTACTAATGCTGCAATATTGCGCAGTGTATACATTGCAGTATACAGATATCTACTTGAATATTCATCGCGAATTTCCCCCTTTCACCAATGAAACGGGCAATTTCATCTCGCGATTCGCGCTCCCATTATCGTGAATTCGCAAGCGGATTCATTGGCTCGGCACGCGGCCGGCAGTTTCTGGTTAGATTCCAGAACTGTTTATGCGTCTTTACGATTAAATACGTAAACTCCGCGTAAACCGCTGCCAAAAGAGCGCGGTTACCACGCGCGGTCCCGTTCGCATCGGTACGCTTTTGCATTAGTAGGTATATTTACCGCGCGCGAGCGTACTCTCTCTCTCTCTCTCTCTCTCTCTCTCTCTCTCTCTCTCTCGCTCGCTCTCTCTCTCTCGCGGGAGCCGGCCTCGAGAACACGACGGAATTACGTAACATCCTTTATTTACGCATCCGCATTTTCACTTTGTAACTAAATAAGTTTTTGCGCATGCCATTGCTCGGCGACAGTAAAAGGCTTAAATCTTACTCTGTAAAATAGCACAGGGGCAAGAGGAAGAGAGGAAATGATGATCCCTTTACTTTACAGAGAATACCTTAATCGACAATGTGATTCCTTACACTGACATATCGACAAGTCAACAAAGTAGATAATGTTAAATTTTATTTTTGCATATTTACTAATTAAGCGCGATTTTACACGCAAAATTATTTATTGCGCATACGTGTTAATTGCGCTGAATGAAAACGTTTGTCAATTATTAAAATGAGATTTATATGTTGCTTGGAAAAGTTTTCGGTTATTGTTTCGTGCATTTGTATGTAATTTTCGAATAAACGGAACTTTTAAAAATGTTATATTTGAAAGTTACAAATATAAAGTATCTTTATCGTTTTCGAAAACTGGCAGAAAACGTATGTGTGTGCCAAACATAGACAATAAAAAAACGACAATATAAAAACTTATTTTATGACTGAAAGTGATTGAAGTAAATCGACCAATTCCGGTCACTGCGATCGATTGTGAATGTCTATTATTAGAAAAAATACGCGGAGGATTGTTATGCGAGCTCCGAGGCGCTTAATGTCGTTTATGCGATAGACTTGTTTTCACTGTACATTTAGATATTCACGCTGAGAAATAGAATCAAATAAAACTGTAAAAAAATCGCATTTTTCGGCGTAACTAAATAAAAAATGAAAAAATCTATAGACCCTACAAATATATAAAACAAACATAAAACAAATTTTGTTATTTATAAAAAATATAAACGAAAAATTGTGATAAAACGCTTAAATGCTGCGAGTTATGCTGTTTAAAATGCGTTGCCGAACAAAATGCGACCAAAAATGCACAAATTTCACAATTTCCGCATGAATTCACCATAATCGCAATTATGACACAAACAACGTAAACAACAGTGATTTGATTCAACGATATTCACGTGGAAATCCAAACTACATAAAACGCACAGTTACGTAATTCATCGTCGATTATATAATCGTAATTTCGCGCGAAAACAGTCGCTAACGCCGAGTAAAGGACGACATTTCCCGGAGAGGAAAAATATTCATAAATTTGCGTGATTCTATATCCCTTTTTCGGTAGAGCAAAAAATCGATCGAAGAGACGGATATACGAACGGAGATGAATGGAAACGATGTAATATTTGCACGCTCTAATTCTATCGTGCTCTAATTCTGCGCGGGGAAGGACAGCGTCGCTAGAGATCAATGAGCTCGAGGAATGGAAGGAGTCCGAAACACGACGCTCGTACCGGCGCGGCGAGCGGCCGAAAGTCGCGTAGGGAAAAGCGAACGAGCCATCTTACCTCGTAAATATCGATCCTGCGACGGCCTCTCGCGGGGGTGGCGGCACGAGTCGACAGGGGTAGCAGAACGGGCGAACGAGGCAGACAGGTACGACGCGAGAGCGGCGAGCCGCGATCCGTGGCGCAGTAGTAGAGAGCTTGCACTCGTCGGGCCTCGCGGGCCGAAGGAGAAACAGACGAGAGGAACGCACGCATGCACACAGACAAACGCAGGGAGAGGGAGAGACGCGCGGGAGGGAAAAACACGGAGAACACGAATGACGTAAAAATCAGTTCAAGCGAAGAAATGTGTTCCCCGCCTTCTTTTCTATCTCTCTCGTGAGCACACTGCGTATTTTTTATTTGCTTAAATACACGCGCACATTCACTGACTTTATCACTCGCGCGGCGCGCGTTCCGCGAATCTTATCTTCACCGGGTACAATCACTGCGCGATCACCTCAACGGCAGTACGCACGTCTCGCGTGAACGAATTTAATAGACGACTATTTAGCACCGTAGCGATTTTTTTTTTCGACGCAAATTCACAACGTTCCGACTTGGTCGAATATTCTTAAATCGTGGAATATTATGTGTATAGCTTCACGCGACACGCTAGCTAACTGACACACAAAGATCTTCTTGAATATCCCAGAGAAAAAACTCGAATCCTAAGATCGTCCAAGTAGTAACGCCGTGTAAACAATTTTTTTGTGCAATTACAAATCACATGAACCGTGTCTCGCAGCGAGAGCTCCGTTATTCGGAGCGGAGCGTCGCAACGCGAAGCCGTCGCGCCGAAGAAACGCGCGGGAAATTCTCGGGGAGACACGCACCGGTCGTGCCACGTGGTCCAGTTCACGGGGAGTCACGCGATTCGCTCACTTCACACCTTCTATCTTCGCGTGACACACACACGCACACACTCGCACACGTGATTCGCGCGATCTCACGGTATACGAAACGATCCCTCCGCTCTGCCGGAATGAAGAACGAGTGCACGGTTGCCGGGCAGAAAATCGGCGGACCTGGACGAAGGGGTGAGACGCAAGTGGGCGCGCGGGCGGAAAACGGACGCAAGATCCGACACCGATACGAACGGAGAGAGAGCGACACGACACACGTGAAGGGCCGCGCAAGACTGAACGGATCGGGGTAGTCGGAGCATTGGAGGCTGACGCGTGCGCGCGCGGCCGCTTCTCCTTCCTCTTGCCACTCCTACGCGAGCGGTAACGGCCGCTACCACCACCGCCATCGCCACCGCCGCCGCCGTCGTCGTCGTCGCCGCCGCCGCCGCCACCGCCGCCGCCGCCGCCGCCGCCACCACCACCAGCTGTCCCTTTGACGAGGAAAGCAACCTCGGGAACAAGCCGCGATATCCTTCGGAGCGCGCGTTAACTCCGTTTTCTATGATTTCCATTTCCGCGTCAACTTTAGGCCTGGATTTCGTTACGCGCATTTCGTTTTCACCTTTCTTTCGTATGATCTTTCGTTACGCGAGATGCTTTTTAGATAATTGCTTGTCCTATTAACATATATGGATATATATCTCTATATAAAATTGTAATAAATTATTAGAATTATTAGAAACTGTGTTAACTTTATATAACATATTATATAAAATTGGCACAGTTTAATTTTTTTTGTAATAATTTTAAACATTATACCTAATAGTTTTAATAGGCATAATTGAAAGAAGCAATCGCTCGATAAGCAAAAAATCCCAATTTCGAACTATCCAATTGAGCAAAATTCGTTTTTTATTAACGCAAATTTATCCCAACAGAATAGGATGAGCAAATATCTTGATTGTGTACTCTTTCCTCAGTTAATCTTTCGTTCCGTTAAAAGAAAAAAGTAAAATGAATTTCATAAATTTCACGTTTATTTGAAAAAGTCTGTTATTCCGTTACATTTACATCTCGAATTATTTCACGAACTTTCTTTTCCCACCCTTCCCCTCTGTTTTTTCAGTTCGAGCAAACTCGGTACACACATGTTATCCTAAGCGCGATAAGGAATCGATAACGAATGAATGCCCGATGCTACCCGTTGTTCGACGCCTGCAGGCCTCGTTATTCCTCGTCGTCGGCGGCACGACAATGGGAAACGACAACAGAATACGTCTGCTAAAAATAAACGTATGTCGCGTTATCACGCATCGCACGGCGTTCACGATGCGATTCGCGGAACGATCGCATTCCTGCCGAATTACAGGTTGATAAAAATATCACCAAGACACCGACGTGTGTAACGCGACGCACGTCGACGCTTTTATTTATTTATCTCGCCGACATACGCACACATACGTGAGCTGCATGTGTATATGTATATCGGTTGATCTCATAAATATTTTATGCAAATATTTGCGTGTGCCTCAGCGAAGAATAAAAATTGACTTCCGAACCTTTCAACGCCACCTTATCGAGTTTGCCGGAAAACTCTGCGGGCAAATAGCGCACATGGTTTCTCCCGCATCATGGCAGAACACATGTTTCATGCAGTAATAAAAGAGTGGCAGATCACTTGTGTAATGCTCTTCGAATTCGCGAAGACAATTCTTAGATAATTCTGATGACTGTATAAGATAATCAGAGCTAACAAATTTTAAAAATTAACGATAATATTATACACTTCATTGAGTTTATTCTTAAATTTTTTGTACTCGAAGTATTTTTACGCTTATCTTAACATAATATTTTAAAATAAAATATCTAAAATATATATTTGTAAAAAACAATATTCGATATTGAATAGTCTAAGTACAAGTTCTAATTTTCTGTACTGTACAGACAATCGCCTCTTCAATATGAAGAAAAGATTTACTTTTTCAAAAAAAAACTTAGGAATAACTTAAAAAGTAAATGTAACGAAGCATAAATTTCTTCAAATAAAACGGAGAAAATTATATAAAATTATTTTTGCATTTTGAGAGCAAAATAAGAGACGCATACATAAAATTTAATTATTAAATTATATTATAATGTAACATATAGTTATAAATATAGTTATAATCTATTATCTTTTAATCTTTTAAATAAGATATCTAAGTGTAAGATATCAAACAAGTACAAAATTGGAGTTTCTTATCTATGCTTGTGTATGTACAAGGTACGTAAGATAAGAATATAAAGCTGGAATTAAAAAAAAAATGTTAAAAGTTTTACATAACATTGTTTGATCAATGCAATGTGCAGACAATTGCCTCAATATAAAGGGAAGCAAAAGGAAGAAAAATATCTTTTCTGGAATCTCCTAATAGACTTGCAAAGTAAAGTATCGGTCATAAACCGTACCCTTCGCTAAGAATTCCTTCACAAACCATTCTCGGAGAAAGTGTAAGCCTATGTTTGGCACAATAAAATGATAAAATAAAACAAACTATAAAAGCAAGAATCTCCCGACGTTTCTGAGCTCTCGGAAAGATCATCCCTTTCGTATCCACATTGGTTATTCCACTTTCTATTAAAGATCAAAAATTTCAAACATTTACTGTTTATAGACATACAAATATAATAACTAATCATTTATATAAATATAAATTTGAGATTTCAATGTGCATACGTGTGTCATGTGTCATCTAAATTTTGATTAAAAAATTTCAATCTATAATCGATTTCAATTTCCTCCTAAGATCCGTGATCGAAATATTCCGACGCTGTTCCGGGGCCGTCTATACGCGATGCAGCACAGGCGCGTCTCTCATATCGCAAAGTTCTCGCACGATCACTGGATACGGCATACGCGAGACTTGCGTATTCCAGAAAAGGAATACACAAGGCCTCTATCCGATTCTGACGAGATAAAAATAACGATTTGAATACGTTTTCCTTTCTCTCGTCGTTTTTATCGGTTGAAAGTCTAACGTTTGATTTTTCAACCGTTTCCCATTTACATCACACGTGCAAATAAAATAAATATACTTGTGCGATACACCGCTTTACCAAACCAATTTTGCCTATCTGATAAGCATTTTTTTAAGAGGTATTTTAGTCTTTCTTAGTTTTTTTTTTTT